CTCTTCCTCCTCACAGTAAACTGCTGGCCGTCAGAGAGTGGGACTGGCTGTGATGTCAACATTGAATATGAGCTGCAGGAGGAGAACCTTGAGCTCAATGACGTGGTCATCAGCATCCCTGTACCGTACGTACTTATTCACGAAATGTGTATAAGAAGAAAAGCGTGTTACTCTGTTACATCCCTGTCAGTCCTGTGTATGACCGACATTCCCGGTGCTCCTCAGGTCTGGAGTGGGAGCTCCGGTGATCGGTGATCTGGATGGAGAGTACAAACACGACAGCAGGCGAAACATCCTCGAGTGGTGCCTACCTGTCATTGATGCCAACAACAAGACGGGCAGCCTGGAATTCAGCGTCGCTGGGCAGCCCAACGACTTCTTTCCTGTCAGCGTGTCCTTTGTGTCTAAGCGCAACTACTGCGACATCCAGGTGGGTTGCTTATGATGGAGTCTCAGTGTGAGGGACAGAAGCTCTGTTTAACTGAGGAGCACATTTTCACAGAAGATCTTCGGTTCTCTAAAGTGAATCGGCCTTTAATTTAATACGTGACAAACGTCAGTAACTTCATAATTCAGTTTTATTTATATAGAAGCAAAGAACAAGTCACCTCAGGGTGCTTGTAAAGTAAAGAGCCTACAATAATACGGAGAATACCCCAACAATCACTGTGCTGTGAGCAAACGCTTGGACAGTTGGAAGGGAAAACTCCCTTCAAACAGGAAGAAACCTCCAGCAGACCCGGGCTCAGGGAGCAGTGGCCATCTGCCGCGAGTGGGTGGGGGTGAGGGGAGGAAGATGGGACAAAAGACGCTGTGGAAGAGATTATTAATAACTGGGACTGAGTGGCCCTGGGATTTGGGACAAAACACATGTTGTCCACTTAAGACTGTTTTATTACATAATAAGGCAGGCTAACGTTAGCTGTTGGCTAACATTAACCAACAGCTAACAGCCTAATGTTAGCCAACGTTAGCTGTTGGCTAACATTAGCCAACAGCTAACAGCCTAATGTTAGCCAACGTTAGCTGTTGGCTAACATTAGC